GCATAGGCCCAAGATGTTTCTTCTCCATTTTCACCTTGATAGAACAGCCCAAATAGCTGATGCAGACGCTGGGCAGGGAGTCTGGGTGAGGGATTATGGCTGACCAGAGCCCACTCATACTGTGAAATCTAAAACCAGAAGCATTCCAGGTGTAAACTATTGTGAAAAATAAATGATGCTCAGAAATTTCAATAAAATTTCACAGGTGAAGGTCCCAGATATACTGTTCTTCCCTCCATTATTTTTTTTCTCTGTTTCCCACCACAGGTGGGAGGTGGAAGGAGTGTGGCACATTTATGGATTACTATAGTTTACTTGGGCTGTGGGAATAGAAAACCGTAAGCCTTGCAGAATAAAAATGTCATTACAAATATTGCTGTGTTTATTCATATAGTTAACTATTTTAAAGTAACTTTTAAAAATAATTGAACAACATAACATTAACGTTTAGTTAATGTTCGACAGTATGTTATTGTGGTGTCTGAAATAATTATAATGTACTACTGAAACAGTAATCTATACTGTATGTCCTTTATAACCAAGTAAGAGTATATTACGACCTGGAGCCTCTTGCAAGGGATACTGGGTAAACCAGGTCCAGATCGTCAGTTTTGTATGAATAATTCAGCAGATAATTAATTGACAGGATTAGACGTAGTTTCAAGCAGTTCTTCATGTAAATACTGCAATTAGATATTTTTTATGAAGATCAAACCATTTCCATAATTGGAACCCTGCCTACTGTTGCCTTTTTATTCATATAGAGGGTACAGCCTTTGAAAAAAATGGTCTGACTCGCGCGACCTCAGTGGCATGTGGCTTCTTGGTGGCAGCAGTGCATTTGCCACCATCATGTGTTTAGCTCACTTTTTATGTAGAAAGTTGATTCAGAATTACTAAACGGGCACATGGTGCCTTTAAAAGATGTAGCAGCACAAGAATTAATTAGCTCTTATTGTAAATATACATATCAGTCTGTCTCAGGCTGCCTAACATTATTTTGAAGCTTTAAAAAATACATCTTGGTCAAGCTTGCCTTAATGGCACAAGTAGTGACATCACTGCATTAACATGTATAGATAGGAATTATGTCGCAGTGGTAACGGTAAGATTTTTTTCAATTTATTTTGGACATAACTACAAACTCTGTATTGGATGGGCTGGGCCATGCAGTCTCTATGCATCTTCAAGATAAGAGCTGTTTGGTTTTTGGGTTGTCATTAATCCAATGTTAGACAGCAGTGAAAGCAAAAACAACTGTCTCTGCTCCAGCTTGCATGGGTGATGGCATAAATGCTGTGCATGGAATTACACATATATCGTATACAAAATTACATACAGTGAGGGGAAAAAAGTATTTGATCCCCTGCTGATTTTGTACGTTTGCCCACTGACAAAGACTTTATCAGTCTATAATTTTAATGGTAGGTTTATTTGAACACTGAGAGACAGAATAACAACAAAAAATCCAGAAAAACGCATGTCAAAAATGTTATAAATTGATTTGCATTTTAATGAGGGAAATAAGTATTTGACCCCTCTGCAAAACATGACTTAGTACTTGGTGGCAAAACTCTTGTTGGCAATCACAGAGGTCAGACGTTTCTTGTAGTTGGCCACCAGGTTTGCACACATCTCAGGAGGGATTTTGTCCCACTCCTCTTTGCAAATCTTCTCCAAGTCATTAAGGTTTCGAGGCTGACGTTTGGCAACTCGAACCATCAGCTCCCTCCACAGATTTTCTATGGGATTAAGGTCTGGAGACTGGCTAGGCGACTCCAGGACCTTAATGTGCTTCTTTTTGAGCAACTCCTTTGTTGCCTTGGCCGTGTGTTTTGGGTCATTGTCATGCTGGAATACTCATCCACGACCCATTTTCAATGCCCTGGCTGAGGGAAGGAGGTTCGCACCAAAGATTTGACGGTACATAGCGGTGAAGTTGTCCTGTCACCTTAGCAGAAAAACACCCCCAAAGCATAATGTTTCCACCTCCATGTTTGACGGTGGGGATGGTGTTCTTGGTGTCATAGGCAGCATTCCTCCTCCTCCAAACACGGCGAGTTGAGTTGATGCCAAAGAGCTCCATTTTGGTCTCATCTGACCACAACACTTTCACCCAGTTGTCCTCTGAATCATTCAGATGTTCATTGGCAAACTTCAGACGGGCATGTATATGTGCCTTCTTGAGCAGGGGGACCTTGCGGGCGCTGCAGGTTTTCAGTCCTTCACGGCGTAGTGTGTTACCAATTGTTTTCTTGGTGACTATGGTCCCAGCTGCCTTGAGATTATTGACAAGATCCTCCCGTGTAGTTCTGGGCTGATTCCTCTCCGTTCTCATGATCATTGCAACTCCACGACGTGAGATCTTACATGGAGTCCCAGGCTGAGGGAGATTGACAGTTCTTTTGTGTTTCTTCCATTTGCGAATAATCGCACCAACTGTTATCACCTTCTCACCAAGCTGCTTGGTAATGGTCTTGTAGCCCATTCCAGCCTTGTGTAGGTCTACAATCTTGTCCCTGACATCCTTGGAGAGCTTTTTGGTCTTGGCCATGGTGGAGAGTTTGGAATCTGATTGATTGATTGCTTCTGTGGACAGGTGTCTTTTATACAGGTAACAAGCTGAGATTAGGAGCACTCCCTTAAAGAGTGTGCTCCTAATCTCAGCTCGTTACCTGTATAAAATACACCTGGGAGCCAGAAATCTGTCTGATTGAGAGGGTGTCAAATACGTATTTCCCTCATTAAAATGTAAATCAATTTATAACATTTTTGACAGGCGTTTTTCTGGATTTTTTTTGTTAATCTGTCTCTCACTGTTCAAATAAACCTACCATTAAAATTATAGACTGATCATTTCTTTGTCAGTGGGCAAACGTACAAAATCAGCAGGGGATCAAATACTTTTTTCCCTCGCTGTAAGCTCCACAATGGGCCATGGAATTAAAATCCAATCACGTATAGTGTCGGCAAGCTGCTTCATCGTAAAAATCTGCTTCACCTTACAAGGCTGTTTGTCAACACCCTCAGTGATTGACTTGGGAATTTTTTTAATCCTTTGTGGACCGTGTGCATTTTTTGAGCTGTGTCAGTTTGATTATTTAGGTTTTTGTAAATGAACAATGACGGTTGAGTTAATCAGGGGCAAATTGTCCGTTTACATATAAACTCAATTACATTTTCCCATTCAGTGCATAGGCACCAGTGCCTTAAATGGGCATCCGTTAAAATCAATGCCTTTGGGTTTAAATTGCTCGTCCTGTGCAGAGTCGCTGCGTGTGCCTTTGTTGGGTCTGGCCACGATCGTATGGAACAGTGATTTTACATTTCGGCTCCTAGCTATTCACTCACCTGCGATTCAGTACAATGTCATCAAATGACATTCGGTGTCAATATTTGATGGAAGAATCACATTTTTGTTTCATTTACACTGTCTGACTTGTCTGTACTGTTTGTACTGTACATACCATCTTGTTTTGTTTCGTTTGTTCTGCCATGTAGTGTTTCCTTCGTCCTGACTATTATCCTCAAGGGAATATTTGCATTAAATGCGCATGCATGAAAATACTCTTTTAGAGCACGCAATTCAATTTCCTTAGACACATTAAATCACGAATAGGTTTTAATTGATGAAACATGACTTGATCAGTTATATTGTGCTTTGGTAGCAGCAGTAGCCAATTGAGATGCATTTTTGCTTGCTTATATGCACTCCACTGTTGTCCGGTAGCAGGCGACGTCTGTCATTGTAAGTGATTGTTCCCCCGTTGGATATGTACACGAGAGTATAGTACTAGAGTTGGGAAGGTTTATTTTGAAATTTAATTCGTTTCTGATGTTTTTTTTATATAATGCATACTAATTACATATTTGTTACCCTAATAGATGTTACTTTTTTCATAAAATATTAAACAATTGGTAGCTCCTTTTGTCAAGTCGCTGCTGCATAAAGGCCTCACCAAAGTGTCATCGTAGAGCTTGTTAAACCATTCTTCACTTCATTGGTCAGTGCAGGTTGATGAGGGGGAGAGACGGAGGTCCAGAATGGGTTCAAATCAATCACCACTGATGTTCGCTGGTCGTCGAACATAGGTCTTCGGATTCATAGCACAGTGCGCGAACCACTAAACCACAACTCCACTCCCACTTGTATGATTATTTGATTCAAAGTAACATGTACATTAATGACTTGATTTAACCCTGGAGAGAACAGTGCTTTGATTTGATTCTGGGATTTGGAGTATATTATGCATGCCTTGGCTACTGCTGTTGAAAAGTGTATACTTTTTTTTGCTCCTGGGCAGTAAGTGTAATTTTGTAATTGCTTATGCCTCAAAAGTACAGAAAATGGCTATTATTTCCCACAAACTTTGCTTTTGTGTCCAGGACACAAAAGCAAAGTTAATAATCCACTCCATTAATAACACAGTGTAACAAGTCTATTTATTTTTTGTTCCTGGGTAGTAGGTAAGGCCAGTGATATTTTGAAATGTACCTATTTTCAATGCGAAAACGTGTGCATTTGTGTCATTCCTTCACATGAAGTCCTGGTCACAAAAGCAAAGTTTGTGGGGAATAATAGCCATTTTCTATACTTTTGAGGCATAAACAATTAGAAAATAACACTACCCAGGAACAAATATTGTGTTACAAAGTGAAATTAGCCGAAGTTGATGACATGATCATTTCCCCTTGTTTAATTACTAGTAGATGTATTGTCGCATAACAATATGGTAATGAAGAAAGTTATCAAGTGGTGCATTCTATCTATGATTACATGCTAAAAATATGTAATTGGGATTACCAGCACACCTGCCTTTACTCATACTCTTTGGTTATTTCGGTAAAGTTACGTAGGTAAAAATAAAATAAAACAAAAATGAAAACACCTGCCTTTGCCAATTTGCATTATTTGACATTGCTTCGCAACACTGCAGATGAAAGGAATTTAACATGAAGCATGAGTGCCTGATGATGTTGACCGAGACGTTGTTTTGCAGGACCCGGGGGGCTGGCAGACTCCGAGCCACGGGCGACGGCGACAGCAACGGCCGCAATGGCACGGGGGACGTGGGGGATGACATGACGACGGAGGAAGCAGGTAAATCAGACGCCCTCGTAATGTCAGTCTCACAGCCGTGATTGGGGGACTTCATCCATGAACCAAGAGCTTGTCGGTGCCACCTTGATTTGGCATAACTTCAGTGGTTCCAATTTGTTTTTGTGACCAATAACGGTGAATAATAATGTGCAGTCCATTTGAATGAGTGGGGTTAGCATATAAGTCACTCGTATTAGCCGTATAAATAAATCAGTTCTATTAAAGTTTTTAAACTTTTGGTGGTACCAATTTCTGTTCTGGCCCATGGAAGAGAAAAACTGTTTGTGGTGTATGTACAGTAAAACGCTTTGTCTGCCGAGCGTCACGTGATCACAACTGATATACTAGTGTTTACATTATGAGACCTCCTTTTGCCAGTAACAAGATATAGAAATAGGTTTTACCCTTTTAACTGGCACAAAAACTGACTGTCTCGTGTGTGGACCAATCAAATTCAAGGACAGTGCATATTATTTTCAGAGTTGTCTTCATTTTGACTGCTTGTGTTGTGGTTATTGCAAACATGATGCCTTGAATAAAGGTCAGTTTTTGTGCCAGTTAAAAGGGTAAAACCTATTTCTATGATATACTAGTGCTTTGATATGAGTGCTTTGGATTACAAACACCTTTCCGAAACGAATTATGCTCGCAATCCAAGGTTTTACTGTACTTGTATTGCAAGACCTCGCTTGGTTATCAAATTAATATTCTCATTCTACGTGACTTTACCGAAAGAACCAAAGAAGATGAATCCTTGCAGTCACGAAAGCTTTAAATCGAAAATTAATATTTATTTACAAATTTTGCTCGTCTTGCAAAACACTCGCAGACCAAGTTACTCGCAATCCAAGGTTTTACTGTATCTGGCCTTTAGGGTTGTAAGGTTTGCAGCTGGTGGATGAGTGCTCCATCGAGCTTGTAATGGCTGTTTTGAAGCACTGAGCTGTTGTTAAACTGTTAGTGAATGATAAACTCAACCCGTTTTGGTTTACAATTGATACAAAAATGTAAAGCTTTGCAACAATTATTCTTTATAGGACAAAGTATGAGCCATCTTGTGTTGAGTGAGAAATATGTTGCAGTGTGTTTATATGTTGTTCTTGGGGGTTGTCTTCCAGGGGCGACTCCCTAACATGTGATCTGCTGCACACTGTTTAGAGTTCTTCAAAGAAATCTAGTAGTGTAATGACGTAATGTAGATTGCACAATTTGAATATAATTGGTGATCGTCACTTCCGCATAAAATCGATACAATTTGGATTTGTATCGCACCAGCATGCAACTGCCTCTCAAAGAATGTATACATAGATTAGGATGAAAGAAAATAATAGGTTCTTAGGGGAGGAGTAGACTAGTAAGGATGCTACAGTTTAGAGCGGTGGAGGATATGACAGTGGTGGTAGAGGTGTGAATACAGACACTTTGTAGACATAGTAAATTGTTGAAGTGGCTTGCAAAACAAAACTAATATGCAAGTGCCTTAAATGTATTTGTACATATTGGAGTATTCAGGGTGGTAAGATAAGTATCATGCAGGGGATATATCTTCACAGGAAGGCAAACATTGCAGATGTATAGGGTTAAAATAGTGGAAACTTATATTCTTAGTTTTTTCGGTAAAGTCACGTTGAAGAGAAACAACAAAATAACAAAATATATATATATAAAACAATAAAAAATTCTCACGAATTTTTTATTGGTCGAAACTTCGTGAGAATTTTTTATTGTTTTATATATATTTTGTTATTTTGTTGTTTCTCTTCAACGTGACTTTACCGAAAAAACTAAGAATATGAATTACTGCAGTCACGAAAGCTTTAAATCAAAATTTAGTGGAAACTTGTCAGAAATGCATGGTGCTTTAGATTTTCCTACATCACAATGAGTAGTTCTACCCTAGTGACATCATAACAAGGTCAATATGGCAGCATGCTTCCTATAGCTGCAGTATTTAACTCAATAAAGCACACATCTCAGTCATGAAGCTTCAAACACATGTTGGACAGCCTAAGAAGCACAGTATAATTGTGAATCTGCAAGGTTTACACCTTGCATACTGGTTATCCTACAGATTGGCAGGTCTTCTCCATGGAAATGTGGAATATCCACCAGAATGAGATTTCTTTTTTTATATTACCACACGGTATGTTTAAATGACCCACTGTTTTTTTCAATGTGGTAGTGCTCTTAAATAGTACTGTTAACATTCCATGTTCTTGTATGTTTAATAAAATTAATTGTATGATGGTCTGTTTGTTGATATGTATATCAGTGGGATATTTATATCACTGCTCATTAGATAATATGAATTACATTTGTGGTAGAATTGTAATTGTTCCTTAAATTAATGTTTAACTAAAACAAGTTTTGTTATTGGCATTGTTTTCCCACTAGTGTGACAATTGAAAAACTATAATTTTATTTTAATTATTACCTTGTGATTAATAAATTAAAATGCAACTGAAGTATTGAAACAATTTTTTTCTCGACTCAATGGAGCAGTTTACATCCTGGTTCATGGAATCGAACCAATTATTAAAATTCCACATTTCCATGGCAGAAGTTTTTTTTCCAAAGGTGACCACTGTTAACCTACTACAAAGGGGTAGCCATGTTATCTACCACAGAGGGATGATACCCTTACTCGTGTTTGAATTCTCAACTTTGTGTTTACTTGTCATTTGCACTTTGCTTTTACTGTCTTCCAGCCTGAAATGTATCTTCCTAATCTATCATATACTTGTATTGCTGAATTATGGGGAGTAAAATCATAAATAAATGAACAGTGAAAGGACTTTTTCATAAACAAAATACATGAAAGTCACGTAAATTTGGTATTTAAGGTAGTTGTTGCCTATAACACCAAACAACTCAGGAGCATTTGTTTAACTGGCCAAACCCTGTGGACGAAACCAGTCCATGGTTTGCCTGATTAAATAGGGGAAAAAACTAGTTAAAAGGCCCTTAAACTGATGATACTACCTAGTTTTATCTTACGTGACAGTTAAATATTAATCTGTCAATTACTTTAACATGAACTAATGTAAGCAAAAAATATATGCAAATGTAACTATAAATTAAGTAAATAACTTGTGTTACCAATGAGCGACTAGAGTCTTAACCCTACTGCAGTGCATTTCACTGCGCCAATTTCCGCACAGCTGACTGGTTTAGCAGGTGGCCTGTGCACTGCAAGGCTTTGTTATGGGGAGCAGTAATTTAGGGAGCTTATATTCTAGAAGCACCTGTACTTTGGTGGGGCCTTTATTCCTCTTGGCCTTTACTCCAAGTGGCCTATATGCCACCTGTGCTTCATTTTATGTTGGAGAATTCAAAGTGACAGGATCCTGACAAGGTTGAAATTGCACACCGTCTCTCCATTATCACTCCCACTCAATGCACTGTGGCTGTTGGCAGCCTCACAAGCAAATGGCTTGACTTTATCCATAAAATTATCTCCCCTCGTACCTAAAAACCTCAAATCTTGCCAGTTATAAATTTGCCTTGAAGCTTTGTTTGCAACAATATTTGCAATTGTTCAAATGGAACAAGGTTTAAAAAATATATATTCAGTATAACATTATCTATACATATTTAACCTCATGGTAATGGGAAACGTGTATTCACATAAATTCGTATTTTGTCAGTGATATGAAATGTGCTAGGATTTCACTTAATTGAAGGTTTACTAGAAATTCAGGTACACCATTCAGATTAGTAGTTTCGTTGCGAGTGGTTAATGGTCAATGGAGTGGTTATTGATGCTGTGGTCAGTATGCACAACTGATAATAATAAGCTGACAAGTCCAAATCTGAGTTGGAGTGTTGACAGCCTGTCATCTTTTTGGGGCTGATGAAATGTGTTTGACTAATAGGAAGTGAACCGATTCTAGTGGCTATAGAGACTAACCCTGTCATGGTAAAGTGTGATTTGTATTGCTAGCTATGGGTTGTGCGTTGAGATTAAACTGTCATTTGCTTGTTTGAGCAAGACTACACTTTGACTTTTTACACTTTTTATTAACTTACTGTCTGTTGTTGTTGTATCCTCAAATCTTGTAACTCCATTTTAACCCACTTCACAATGTGGTATCGACTGCAAACTTGGTATACTTATGTCATACTGATGACAATACTATATTCTATCATAAAAATATATATTTTAAAACATTCTCTTTTGTATGTTATCTTTCGGCTTGGGTGTAATTGTCCACAGTCAACTCACGTTTGCTGTAAATGGCCACGGTCCATTATGTTATGGCAATGTTTTTAAAACATTTTTTTAAATATTACTTTTTTAATGGTTCAATGCAGTAGTCTGATACTCCAACTTATAAGAGAGTATTTGTTACTGAAGGCACTTGCACAGCAAGTGCGGCCCAGTTTGTGCCAATCCTGTACTCCACAATTTGACATTTAATCTTACCTAGTGACCTGTTGCAAAGTGACCAGTCTCAGGGCACCCCCTGTGTGCACCAACCATATTTTTGTATTCAATTGATAATTGAATCATAGCCGATTCACAATAATTAAGCAAATTAATAAATTATCGATTGAATCATACAGTGAGCGAGGGGGGGCCACGATGACTCTTGTAGAGATGATGATTCGGTTTGAACGTGGTGGTGACGTGGCCCAGCACGAGTGCGTTTGCCACTTGCTGCAGAGGTTTCGCATTTAGACTTCTGGCAGCCCGACCTCAATTAATCCTGCCTCGCAGTGTCGTCTTTCAAAGAAGAGTAGACCCTTTTGTGTCTTTGTGTCAGCATCGTGATTCTAATTTTAAGAATTGCTCAATGTGTCTCAATTGGGGAAATACAAGTTTCTTGTTATTTTGGTTCAGAAGCTTAAAACAGATGACAACCACTGATGATATGTCTTTTCTAGTCATTCCTCTCGTTTTTCTTGGTTCTTTCGGTAAAGTCACGTAGAAGGGAAATAATAAAACATAATGAAATAAAATTATCACGACGTTTTGGCCACAACGCAAGCAGCCGTCCTCGGGTGAAGAGCAGAGCTGTCGGAAAAGCAGCGCCCTAATTATTTTATTATTTCCCTTCTACGTGACTTTACCGAAAGAACCAAGAATATGAATCCCTGCAGTCACAAAAGCTTCAAATAGAAAATTCGTCATCATTGTTAAGCCAGAAGGTACAGGGTCCCCGTACACATTGTGTTATGAGATTTAACTGTATGGTATTTTCCTATGAACCTTGGATGAAACTGCAAGGTGGCCCAAAATGTTGTTTATCTCTGTAAATATGACCATCCCTGTACGTCACTGAGTGAAACATTTTCGTGGAATTAATTCATCCTGAAAATCAAGACGGCATTGTTAATAATTTGTTAAAATTATACAGTTGATGAACGTATTCACACTTTACACCTGAGTTAAAACTTCACACTTTCCCTCCCACTCCCACATGTTTTCACACCTTTGCTTCCCCACCCCCACAGCTCAAATTCACACTTTCACAACATCCAGCTTACACCCCTTTCATGCCTTCCTACCCCTCCCTTTACCTATACTTTAATGTCAACCAAATGTAAAGTTAACTTGATTACTAAATTCAACCTCCTGTCAAAAAAGAAGCCAGAGCCACACGCTAAAAAGTTAGATGTGAACTTTCTCTCTCTCTGTGCATCTCTCTCCGATCTCTACTCCCGTGCCCTGGGTGCTACTGCGGGGTCCACTTTCTGCCCCGCCTCCTTCCCCCCCACTTCTCTCCCCCCCCCCTCTTGCCGAGGCCTATATAACCTCGTGCCACGGCAGATCTCTCGCCTACTTCAGCAGTGTTTCTTGCTGTGGTTGTCCCACCTGAAGACGATTGCTTGTGTTGCGATCGAAACGTCGTGATCTATTATTTTTCTACCTACGTGACTTTACCAAAAGAACCAAACAGTATATACACCAGTAGTTCAATAACATCTATTGTTAAAGACGTTTGAAGCTTATGTAATAAATAAACAATGTCGCCTTTACTATAAGATACTACAGGTTTAGGTCTAACCATAAGCCAATGTGTCTTCTGGACCAGTGTTTTCCAGCAGCATTTGTGTAAGCAGCTTTATAAAGCAGACTAATGGTGAATGGATGTTGTGGTTCTGCATAGAATTTACCTGTGTCCGTCTTATGATGTGCAGCATACCGCTGCTGGCTGTGCCAGTGTTGATGTCTTGTTCTGTGTCATGCAGATGTGAAGGAGGGCTCCATGGCAGAGGGAGGGGAGCCCTCCCCTCCGCCCTGTCCCAGCACTGGCACGGAGGAGCCGTCACCTGGCCAGGGCCCGAGCCCCCAAGCAGAGTGCAGGTGAGACGACATTAGAATCTGTGAGCTTCCATTGTTTTCAACAGTTCCTCTAAGACAATAGCCACATTGACACCTAATCTCTGCCTTCTCATACGAAGCATTTAGTTATCTTCCACCTAAAAAGCAGATGAAGATGCACCTTTCTGGTGAGCCTTTGAGTAAAATTAAAATCTGAGCTAGGCACCGCGCCTCTTCAGTCACATTCGAACTTTGTCTTTTTGCGGAATTGCACGTGTTACGAGTTGTTCATTATTATCACTTGCCTTCAGATCTACAGTTTTTCTTGGGATGGCAGTGGAGAAAGCTACTCTGTTAAAGTCTCGCAACTGATATATTGCCAGTGTGGGTTGTAAATAACATTCTACTGCAACTTCTACAACAATAGGTTCTCACTTGGTCCTGGAGCTTGAAACCCAATGAAATCAAAATGAACACAATGTCCAGAAGAATCATTTTTTTAGCATTTTTATCTTAAATTGCGTGTTGTGTCATGCATACTTCTGTTGTTAGATCTGGCCTGGTGACATTCAATTCATAATCTAAGGGTCCAAGTTAAAATTCTATTTTGGGTTGCACTTTCCCCATCGACAGCTCTCCTGAGTAGATTAAATTAGAATGTTAAATTGAAAGTCAACTGTGGTTGGATAACCTGACTCCCACAATACATTTTTTGAAATGTCCAAATACTGGCTTAGGGATGCCAAAATGATGGGCACCACCACATACTGCTTGATTGTAGACACTTATTCGTATTACACTACAAGAATGTGGTATATCAAATACTGTTTTTGAAGTTTGTTAGAAAAGATGTTTACGGGAAATGTAAGTGTTTGACAATTCATATTGAATCATAGGCACTGATATATTGAATGATATATGCAAATCATAATTATAATTGGTTAATTAAATTTTGTTAAGTATATGCAAATGTTACTTTAAAGTGAATCTAACCATTGAGGTGGTAATCAACAAGGATTTGCAAACAAAACAAATAATCCATTCTTGAACTGAATTGTTACCTCGAATCATGACAACCCCTCAAATTGTATGGGAGAGTTGAGGTTGATTGTTCTATGCCCATGCTTTATGGGTACGTGTTAATGTGTTTTTATACAAGATAATGAAAAATAGTTGAGTGAGCCTTTTGTTAATTTTCTTGGTTCTTTCGGTAAAGTCACATAGAATGGAAATAAAATAATAAAAATGTTGTTTCAAAACAAGGGAGCTCAGAATACAGTGAGGGAAAAAAGTATTTGATCCCCTGCTGATTTTGTATGTTTGCCCACTGACATGATCAGTCTATAATTTTAATGGTAGGTTTATTTGAACAGTGAGAGACAGAATAACAACAACAAAATCCAGAAAAACGCATGTCAAAACTGTTATTAATTGATTTGCATTTTAATGAGGGAAATAAGTATTTGACCCCCTCTCAATCAGAAAGATTTCTGGCTCCCAGGTGTCTTTTATACAGGTAACGAGCTGAGATTAGGAGCACACTCTTAAAGGGAGTATGTATGTTTGCCCATGGATAGTAATGCATGCACGTGTTTATCAGTACATGTCAATAAATGCACGACCCATGTCTGTGTCTGAAATTCACTGGATATTTTATAAATACATTGTAAGTACTTTCTTTTGCATATGTGTGCTTAGATAGCACTTCTGATCATGATAGGTCTGCCTAGCTTGTCTGTATGTGCCTTGGTTGTCGTTACCAATTTCAGCCATATTTCGCTGCCGGTTGTTACTTTCGATGTCACAGGCTTTGATTATGAAACCGTATTTTGCCTGAGACGCCGAATCTAGATGTCGTGTTGGGAATGCTGTCCATTACAGTAGTAGCGTGGCCATTGGCATTACGTTTACAGAGCACAACTGAGCATGGAATTATTCTTGCTGTACTGCTGTGCTGAAACAATAATGCACGCTGTTTGCGAAAGCGTAATTTTATTTGCTTATTGTTTATACAGTAAAACCTTGGATTACGAGTAACTTGGTCTGTGAGTGTTTTGCAAGACGAGCAAAATTTTTTAATAAATTTTAACTTGATAAACGAGCGAGGTTTTGCAATACGAGTAGTATGTGTATGCGCTTTGTCTGCCGAGCATCACATGATCACAACTGAGCCGATGGTTCTTCTCTTTCGCTGCGGGATTGTGGGTAATTGTCGTCTCCCATGCTCGGTCTCGGTCAGTGTGCCTCACTCGTATAGTCAACATCCTTGCGAGCGTATACTGTTTACTATAGTGTTGTGACCACGTGTGTGTGCGTAAAGCATATTTTTTATTTTGTGTCCAAGTGTAGTGACTTCTTTAGAAAAGCACCACCCAATTTAGGGCTGTAGCAGTGCGAGCGATGAATCTGTTTAACAACAATGCAATGTCACATTTCCGCGAAATCCTCAAAAGGAGGCAAAAGCATGTGTCATTGGATAGGTTCCTTGTTAAAGTCGCACAAAATGAAAAAGATTCCAGTGAACCAACATAGCAGTGATTCTGTTAGTGACAGTGAAAGTCGTCCTACACAATAACCCTCCTCCTCCTCTCCTCTCTCTCGTCTCCCTCACACCAGCCACGATTAAATTTAATTTATAAATTTTATTACTTTATATTACATTTAAATAATAAAGATATAAAAAGGTATTTTGTATTAATAATTTTTATATGAATTGTTTTGGGTTGTGGAACGAATAATCTGAGTTTCCATTATTTCTTATGTAGAAATTTGCGTTGATATACGAGTGCTTTGGATTACAAACACTTTTCTGGAACATTATGGTCGCAATCTAAGGTTTTACTGTACTTATAAAGTTAGCAAAGATGACTCTTTAACATGCCACCTCTACCAGGTAATCCATGTATTCAACTCTATATTTATATTAAGTAGGATATATTCTGTACAGATTTTGGATGCTGCCATTACAATTCCCTTCTTGGGGCATGGGTGACTAATGTTGTGGGATGCAGGGAAAACATTACAGATCCATATTCTCAATGTTAGGGTCCACGATATTTAAACAAAAAACTGCACGAATTCGGCTTGGAATGTTCAGAGAACATACCGAGGTAGTCACTATATTTTCATAACTAGGTAGTCTAGTAATGAAAACATAGTCTCGTTAGTCACCGATTAGCATGGTTGGCTACGCACAGTTCGAAAGAAGTTCAACATATATACATTTGGCTGAATATTAAGAATGCTGTTTCGCTTGTATTCAATTGAGCATGTCGTTGAACATCTCTTGACACGTGCATACATTATACATTTTAGCTTCAAAGGCAAAGAGGGTTTATATACAAAATGTAACATTTTAAACCAAGCTAAACATGTTACAATGTTACATTTTAAACAAAGTTTGAACGAGAAAATTTAACCTGCCAATTATGATGACCCTATTTGCATAGCCAAAAATCGTGTTCAATAATTCCGGGTCATATTGCCTGTGTGCTCTATCTTTTGTGCATATTAGCAAATAAACACAAACATGCATTAGTCAGAGCACGCAACAAAACAGAACTAGAAGAGATCGAAAAGACAGTTTCAAACTGAAATATGCGAACAACTCTGTTGGTGATGATGAAAGTAGGAGGTTTGGTTGATTGTAACTATGTCACCTGGTCCTCAGGAGTAGTTTCTAGTCTTGTTGAAAAAAGCCCTGACGTAGAATTTCATGATCAAAATACGCACCATTTCTATCCTTTTCAATTTATTTTGAGCTTGGTTTAAAATGTCACATTTTGTATACCTTATATGATTGGAACACATTTCTCATGTTTAGTTATCAAGTCATGTTTATAGGCTTTAACGCTGCGTTTGTTATATGTTGAAATCGTGAGCATCTTTAGTGGAAATTGGACATTATAGGCTCACACTGAAATATGAGATGGCGGGCAAGGAAATTACACACTATATTATTTTACGCGATATAACCCAAAAACCTCTATGGATGATATTGGTCACGAAAGCCCACGTGTTAAACTATATTATTATATATTGTGGTTGTGCAAAATTGCTAATATGCGAAACATAGCAAATATTTTAACCTTTTGCACAGTAAGCTATTGAAGGTCTTGGAAGATGAGACTTCAAAGTACATTCATTGCATAAACACCAGAATTAACACATGCTAAGTGCATTGATTGCATTGGCACACCTTGATGAGCTTTTCTGATATGACTGATTTTTTTTCAATGCACTATCTTCACAGAGGCTGTTTCCGTACATCATTGAAGATGTTCAGTACTTTTTGACTTCAGCGCCACTTTGAAGCCAGAAAATAGCCATTAGGGTATATGTCATGACTGGCTTGTACCTTATGTCCGATTTGACTTAGAAATTAATTATATTAAAAAAATACAATCTTAGCATTATTCATTAAGGTATTTTTATATTTATAATAAGTATTATTTTGATATTTCTTTTAGATTACTGTGGGATGATGCTCCTCAAAGTTCATATACCAAGTCATGTGTCCCTGCTTCCATGCTGCCAGCCAATTGACTATATGTTAATCTTAACTAAACCTATTACAGTGTTTTTATTTTACCAGATAAGGCCCACTGAGCTATATAGCTCTTTTTCAGAAGTGACCTAGCCACAAATGATAGGTCAACGAAGTTGCTTAACATTTGGAAATGTATTGCATCCAAATACTATAAATGCATGTTTCTAAATGTGGAGGGAAAAACCGGAGGACCCGGAGAAAAAAATCCACACGACAACAGGGAGAACATTCAAACTCCAAATACACAGGCGTCATGTTGGGATTGAACCCACGGCCTTCGGTATACTAGGCGAGGTAGTTCACATCGCGCCACTGCGACACAATTCAATTGGGGGCGCACTTCTGCTGACAAAGCTCTGGGGGAGGCCACCAAGAAGAAGGGCGGCCTCTTAGTGCCTGCTGCTGACATCAGAAAGACTTCCCTGCCCTTTACCCATAAGCCCCAGTTCTTTTCTGCACCTTGTTGAGGCTTTACTGGGCAAACAAGTGCAAT